CAGGGTTATGTGAGAGGAGTGCTGACTTGGAAGGGCTCTGGATGCCCAGGAAGATGGCAGACCTGCCTCTGAGCCTGTAACACATAGGATATGAGAGAACAGGTTTCTTCTGAGAAGTGATGCCACCAAGGAAGAAGGTCAGGCTTTCTGAAAGGAGTTGAGGATGTAAACAGTTGTTTATTTCTGAGTGGATGTTCCAGAGGGCACCCTGGAGGAGATTAGGAAGGAGAGGAGCAGGGGGCTGGGGTGGCGGTAAAGAGGACAGAGAGGAGAAGTGGCTGGAGTGGCTGGGAATTTAGGCACTGGCTGCAGGAAAGCAGGATGGGATTCATGGTGGGACCAGCCAGTGATGGGATTGACAAGGAGGGAGTCCTCCTGACCCAATGGATGTGGTTGGGGGTGGGAGGAGACTCTGGAAGGGGTCAGCATTGGTCTGGTTGATGGTGCGTCTTAGGGACCCACTGGGGACCTGCCATAGAAATCCAGACCCATGGTTCTAAGCAGACCTGAGGTTTCTGTGGTTCAGGAAAGAAGTAAAAGCAGTGTGTGTGTATGTGTGTGTGTGTGTGTGTGTGTGTGTATGCATACGCTCAGTCATATCTTTGTGATTTCATAGACAGTAGTCCACCAGGCTTCTCTCCATGGGATTCTCCAAGCAAGAATACTGGAGTGGGTTGCCACTTCCTACTCCAGGGGATCTTTCCAACCCAGGGATCGAATCTGTGTCTCTTGTGTCTCCTGCCTTGGCAGCCGGGTACTTTACCACTTGTGCCACCTGGGAAGAGCAGAATAAATAGTGGGTATGTCTCCATATTCTGGGGAACCCTATCATAAGCAAACCCACTTCCCAGCTATCCATGGAATAGGGAGTGATTCTCAGTCCATCATGCTGGGACTCACTGCCCAGGGCCAGGGGATGGTCTCATACCTCCATACATCTTCCCTGCTATTAAATCTGTTGAAAATCCAGTTTCCATTAGCCCTCAGGAACACACCTACTGCAGAAAGTAGGCATGCTTTCCATTCCCAAGGAGTCTGGAAAGGGGGTTCATTGTGCCAGAGGAAATTGGAGAAGCACACAGAGAAATAAACTCTGAAGGAGTCATCCCTCAGGGTCACGATAGCAGACTGTGGAAGTGTGTTTTCTCATTTCCTCATGTTCCAGGGCTCATATGCTTCACAGCTGTGATTTATTTTCAGAGCACACTTTGGAATTTGACAGACTCTCAGGCTGGCCCTTTTCTCAGCTGAAGCCATTTGCCATTTGGCGGATGACAAAGCCAGTGACAATTTCCACTAAAACAGCCGTGAAAAGAAGACATCTGATAGACAGGTGTCAAACCTGGGATGCAGACAGCACTGAATCGCTGACAGACACCTAGGGTCTCCGCTGCATGGGAAGTGCCAGAGTCTCCCCCACCCCCGATCAGCAGACTGAGAGCTGGGCCCCTGATAGGCTTGAATTCTGGGATATATGTCCTGCTTAAAGATGTGTGGCTCCGTAGTGGGCATGATGTAATTGCTGGTGTTTAGAGAGCTGAGCACCTCACACCCTACAGAGCCCTAGTCCACATTGGGTATGAAGGCTGCAGGGTCCCAGCTGCTGCAGCAGAAGGTAATGGGGAAAGATAGCTGATCCCGCCATTCAAAGCCCCTACTGCTTCTTCTCTGCTTAGGCAGTGTGAGCCATTTTGGCTGGGGGTGGGTGGGGGGGTGCCTTCTTCAAGGGCTTTTTTATTTCAAGTGATAGAAACCTATTCAGGGACTTCCCTGGCGGTCCAGTGGCTGGGACTTTGACTTCCACTGCAGTAGGGGGTGGTGTAGGTTGGTATGAATTCGATCCCTTGTTGGGGAGCTGGGATTCCACATGTCTCATGGCCAAAGGACCAAAAAGCTTGGAGCAGAAGGGTTATCATGGTAGATTCAATGAAAGAAAAAAGTGTTAGTTGCTTGGTCATGCGCGACTCTTTGCGACCCCATGGACTGTAGCCCACCAGGCTTCTCTGTCCATGGGATTCTCTGGGCAAGAATACTGGAGTGGATAGTCATTTCCTCCTCCAGGGGATCTTCCTGACCCAGGGGTCGAACCCTTGTCTCCTGCAGCTTCTGCATTGGCAGGTGGATTCTTTACCACTGAACCGTCTGGGAAGCCCCCATACTAGCATTAATTAATTAATTAATGCCAATTGTGTTAAACAGTCCTTTCATGGATGGGTAAAAATGACTCAGTCCAACTCGCATATATAGTCCTGCCTCAATGCCCATGCAGGACCTGACACAGAAAGCAAAATCCACAGAGGCTCAAATCTCTTCTATGAAATGGGGTAGTATCTCTTACATAAAATCATATAGCATTTGTACATATGCTTGGCTGTGTTTCACATCACGTAGGGTCTTAGCTCCCCCAATCAAGGATCAAACCTTTGTGCCCTGCAGTGGAAGCTTAGAGTCTTACCCACTGGACTGCCAGAGAAGTCCCCCTCCTGTACACTTTAATTAATTTCTTGATTACTTGTAATGGCTATATGTAATAACAGTGTAAATGTACGTGCGTGTGTACTGGGTCACTTCAGTCAGTCCGACTCCTTGGGAGGAAGGAAGGAAGAAAGGGAGGGAGGAAAGAAGGGAAAAAGGAAAGAACGAAGAAACAGACATGAAGCTCTGCACGAAGAACCTTAGAAAAGATTTCCCAGAGGCTGTGCCGTATGAGGTGGTCCTGAAGGGTGAGTTCACCAGGACGACAGCTTGTGTGGACAGGGAGAGAATTTCTGGCAGGAAGGACCACATCTGCAAATGCGGGAGGGCACAGGGCGCTTTCAGAAACACCTGCCTGCCGAGGGCTCTGATGAGGCGCGGTCTGCAGAGCTGCTCCCTGCACCGTGTGGAACTTTCTAACCACATCTGGGTACTGAGCACCCAAAACGGGGCCAGTTGGAACTGAAACGTGCTGCTCCTGTAAGATACACCCCAGTTTCAAAGATATAGTATGAGAAAATAGCCCATTAATAATTTTTGCATGAATTGCATGTTGAAAGGATAATGTTTGGGGTCTATTTTTAGAAGTAATTTTACCCATTTCTTTTAACTTTTTAAAAACCGCTTCTGTTAGAACATTTACAATCACATAGGTGGCTCTTAGTATGTTTCTCTTGGACAGGACACTCGGAAGTGTAGGGGAAATGAGGTTGAGTGGCTGACAGGGACCAAAGACTCTCTAAGGAGCTCCTGTAAGCAATGCAGTTTTAAAAGTTTTTATTTTATTCTGGAGTACAGTTGTTTACAATGTTGTATTAGTTTCAGATGTACAGCAATGTGATTCAGTTACACATGTATCTGGGCTTGTCTGGTGGTGCAACAGTAAAGAATCACCTGTCAATGTAGGAGACATAGCAGATACAGGTTCTATCCCTGGGTCGGGAAGACCCTCTCGAGTAGGAAATGGCAACCCACTCCAGTATTCTTGCCTGGAAAATTCCATGGACAGAAGAGCCTGGCGGGCTACAGTCGACTCATGGAGTTGCAAAGAGTTGGTTATGAGTGAGCAACCGAACAACAAATACATGTATCTATTCTTTTTCAGATTCTTTTCTCATATAGGTTATTACAGAGTATTGAGTTAGAGCTCCCCGTGCTTTACAGTAGGGATTCATGAAGAGGTCGGGATATACACACCACTCTATGGAGCTTCTCTGATGGCTCAGATGGTAAAGAATCACCTGCAATGCAGGAGACCCGGGTTCAATCCCAGGTTTGGGAAGATCCCCTGGAGAAGGGACTGACAGCTCACTCCAGTATTCTCGCCTGGAGAATCCCATGGACAGAAGAGCCTGGTGGGCTACAGTCCATGGGGTCTCAAAGAGTTGGACATGACGGAGTGACTAATACACACACACCATATAAAATAAATAATCAACAGGGACTTATATCTAGCAATGCAGTTTTAAACCTAGAGGTGCACGGTCAGATATGTATTGTTTAGAAAGCCATCAGTCATGTGAAAGGTGGATCAAGGAGAAAGGATGCTGAGGGCTGGAAGTGAGTCTCCTTTGAGGAATAAATGATGAGCCAGACAAGATGGCAAGACTGAGTGTTTGGGAGGTGAGGGAGAGGAAGGTGAAATGACATTTAGAATTCTGACTTTGATTGTTGTTGGTTGGAGATGCTTTAGCTGGTGTCTGGGTGTGGTTGATGCTGCCTTTGAGGTGTGCAGTCATCCACTGGTGGTTTAGATCTTGGTGCTGGAGGTGTAGATGTAGGTTCGTTAGGGTAGAATTGATCCTCAAAACCTTGGAGTGGCTAAAATCACATGGGACAGTGGTCTCCAACCTTTTTGGCAACAGGGACCAATTTCATGGAAGACAGTTTTTCTGCAGACGGGGGGTGGAAGGATGGTTTCAGGATGATTTAAATGTATTACATTTCTTGTGTACTTTATTTCTAATCTGATGCTGCCACTGATCTGACTGGAGGGACCAGTCCATGGCCCGGAGGTTGGGGACTCCTTGCATAAGGGATACATAGAACAAGGAGAGAAGATGACTGAGGTTGGAGCCTCTGGGAGAGGGAAGAGCCTCTGGGGGAGGCGAGTGGAGAGTGCTTGTCAGAAGCCAAGGGGAGGGAGGATTTTCAAGAATCATTGTGCCTCAGCAGAGGCAGTCAGATAAGTCAAAGGGAAAGCATGTTTTAGATTTAGCAATAAAAATGTCGTTAGTGACGTTGGTGAATGCCGTTTCCATGAAACCGTGGAAGACAAAGCCAAACTGGGGGGACTTGTGATGGAATTGGACAAAGCAGAGACAGCGGGTTTGGACCATTCTTTGAAGAAAACAAAGCATTAGGATTGTGTGGATTTCATTGCTTAAAGAATGTTGGGAATTCCAAGAAACAATTTGCATGGCCCCATGTGTTTTCACTTGGAGAGCTCTCCCCTCACCTGTACCCCACAATCAAAGACAGAGATTCATGCAAATGTCTTTTCTCTCTCTCTGTCTCTGTCTCAGGCCGGATCTTGGACCTGAAGACCGGGACAGTCAAGAAAGAAGGGCAGCAGTCATCCATGAGGATGTGCATGGGTTCCCGGAGGTCCTTCATCTGCAGGATGAGGTCTGTTTGGGGGAGCAGTGGGCTGGGGCTCTGGTGGGGCTACTCCCTTCCCCCCTGCTGCTGAGCATCCTGAGGGGCTCTCAGATCACACCTTTACCCTGGTGACGTCACCTCCTGACTGCAGCCCCATGTCATCTCCTTCTTGGTTTGTCTCACCTGTAAATGGAGATGAGGAGTTGGCAGTTGGACGTAGAATTCTGGAGTTCATGGGAGAGCTTGAGGCTGAAAATACAGAGTTGAGGGTTGACATCAGTGAGATTGGAAAAGACCCTGATGTTGGGAAAGACTGAGGGCAGGAGGAGAAGGGGGCAACAAAGGGTGAGATAGTTGGATGGCATCACCGACTCCTTGGATGTGACTTTGAACAAACTCCGAGAGATGGTGAAGGACAGGGAAGCCTGGCGGTCACAGAGAATCAGACATGACTGAGCAACCTAACAACTACACAGGCTGTCTTCCCTCTGTTCAGCCGGCAGGGGCAAGCTGAGTGGCTCAGACTCACATGCATTAGTGTCCACCAGGGACAGAATGCATCAATTAATGTAGTCCATCACATCAAGGGCTTTCCTCAGTGCTTTGGCCAGTAGAGTAAATGCCCATCCTAGCTAGAGGGACATTCATTGTAGCACAGCAGGGTGAATTCTTCATTGCCCCATCTAAGAAGTTGCCTTGTGCATAAATTTATTGGAAGTATCAGGTATTCCATTCCTAAGTAGCCTCCAATGCCCTTATTTAATTAATTTATTTTTCTGTGCTGGGTCTTATTTATAGCACTCAGGATATTTGATCTTCATTGTAGCATGCAGAATGTTTAGTTGCAGCATGCAAAGTATTAATTGAGGCATGTGGGATTTAGTTCCCTGACTAGGGATTGACCCCAGGCCCCCTGCATTGGGAGCACAGAGTCTTAGCCACTGAACCACCAGGGAAGTCTCTCTAATACCATTACTGTGCTGTGCCTAGTTCCTTAGTCGTTTCTAACTCCTTACAACCCCATGGACTAGAGCCTGTGAGGCTCCTTTATCCATGGAATTTTCCAGGCAGGAATACTGGAGTGGGTTGCAATTTCCTCCTCCAAGAGATCTTCCTGACCCAGGGATCAAACCCAGGTCTCTTGCATTGGCAGGCAGATTCTTTACCACTGTGCCACCTGGGAAGCCCTCCAATACCAGTATCACTGACCTATCGACCAGAGCCAGGTGGTCCCCTCCCTGCCCTGGTACCTTTGGGTTGCTTTTTCCAGTGCCACACCCACACTACCTGGATTTACCTGTGAGGCAAGGAGCACTGCCATCTGCTGAGAGCATGGCCTTCCCCTCCAAATAAAGCAGCTTAGTTTCAGGAAGACACTGGGCACAACCTGCCAGAGGGCAGAGGGCTGTGCCAGCATCCCTTGGCGGCTACCTCTTGGATGGATCCTGCTGTGAAAACATGCCCATTCTGGCAGCTCCCCCAGGCCTCAGAGTATAAATGGACTCTTGTCTTTGCTGCACTGAATACCGAGACATTGAGGACATCATCTACCGTGAAATTGGGAAATGGAAGTGCGAAATGAGAACACAGGTCAGAGGTTGACCACAGGGCAGGCTGTGGATACTTGGAGCCTGGGATGTGGAGACAGTTATGGAGAAGGGAGGCAGAAAAGATGCTGCTTGAAAGGGCAATGGGACACCTCACACCCCCTGCCTCCCAGAGAAGGACCCATAGAAAGATCTGATTCCAGACTCATCCTCCTCCTGTCCCCAGTTTGTCTGTTGCCATTCACAGGCTCACAGTGGTTTGCTCATTCCTAGTGCCAGAACACTGCAGGGGAGGAGGGACTTTCTACACTGTTAATCTGAAGCCTGAGAAGATGGTTCTGTTTGTCAGCTGGCAACATCTGTTTTGAGTTGATGCCTCTGCTTGGGCCTGAAGAGATGCTGTAGCTGTCATCACCACCCTTCCCTTGTTCCCTGAAAGCCCCCAAGTTACACTGAAATGATCTGCAGAGTGGAGCATGTGTCTGTCCATAGGTCTCTGGCTCCTGGGCTGGGCCGGAGATGGTCTACCTGTGCACTGAAGAATGGGTCCCCTCCCTTGCCTTCGGTGATGATCAGAATTTATAGACATGCAGCCCTGCTTCTGCACTTTGGGAAGAAATTAGCTATACGGCTCACCTGAGTAAGTGTGGTCACATTAGATAAGGTCCATATACTAGGCTTAAGGTCAGACCAGTCAGTCCTAAAGGAAATCAACCCTGAATATTCGTTGGAAGGACTGATGCTAAAGCTGAAGCTTTAGTACTTTGGCCACCTGATACGGAGAGACAACTCTTTGGGAAAGACCCTGATGCTGGGAAAGACTGAGGGCAGGAGGAGAAGGGGGCGGCAGAGGATGAGGTGATTGGATGACATCACTGACTCAATGGACATGAGTTTGATCAAACTTCAGGAGATAGTGAAGGACAGGGAGGCCTGGTGTGCCTCAGTCCAAAGCGGGTCACAAAGAGTCAGACATGACTGAGTGACTGAACAACAACAAATATACTTGCCTGCAGCACTGTAGGCTTTATAAGGTTGGCTGGCTCTTCACCCGTTCTAATGTGTTTCTCACATCTTAGGTGTGGAAATGCTCCTTTGGACCATCTTCCTCTAAACAGACTAACCACCATGAGGAAGAGGTTCAGGTCAGTAGGCCTTACAGTTTTTATCTTTATTTTTAAAAATATTTATTTGGCTGTGCTGGGTCTTAGGTGTGGCATGTGGGATCTAGTTTCCTGACCAAGAATCGAATCTAGGCCCCCTGCATTGAGAGCACAGAGTACTAGTCCCTGGACCACCAGGAAAGGTGGTAGGCATGATGGATGTTTCGGGGCTATGCCAGTAGATAGCTTCAATGCACTAAGCTAAGGAATAGCTGAACTTAAAGACAGGCTTAGCCATGGAAAGCACCAAGAGACTCACACTTCAGAGTTACTGTGGCTCAGCTGAGAAAGGTGTTGGGTGGATTTATTATGGACATGCATACTATGAGGGAAGGGAGAAAGGAGGATGCTGGGAAGTGAAGATTCAGAAACACAAGGTCAACAGGTGAACCCAGAAGCTTAGGTACTAAAGGAGTCATGGGCATCCTTGCCTCACCCCCAGGTGCTGAAAGCCTGCTCATGATGTTCTTTCTCTAGGAATGGCCTTGGCCCTGTGAAGGAAGGAGAAGCCCAGTATGCTGTGGTCCACTGCACAGGCTACATCAAGGCTTGGCCACCAGCAGGTAAGGAGAACCTGCATCTTCATTCCCAGGGGATTGAATGCTGGTTCATGTCACCATGGTATCCTATTAGAAATGCATTCTTATAGAAAGAGACTGGAAAATACTCTTATTTTCCATTGTAGTTAGAATGTAATGGTCTTTGTAATGGAAAAAAATCTTGCTACTTGAAACAAAGGTTTGTAAAAGAGTGATCCTGCAAAGGTGATTGGCGCCTCACAAATCCTTTCTGTGATCTGTCACTTAGAGCTCTCTGGAAAGTCAGAGGGACATTTGTTTTTTTATTTTTTTATTTTTTTTAATTTATTTTTTTTTATTAGTTGGAGGCTAATTACCTTACAACATTGCAATGGTTTTTGTCATACATTGAAATGAATTAGCCATGGATTTACATGTATTCCCCATCCCGGTCCCCCCTCCCACCTCCCTCTCCACCCGATCCCTCTGGGTCTTCCCAGTGCAGCAGGCCCGAGCACTTGTCTCATGCACCCAACCTGGGCTGGTGATCTGTTTCACCCTAGATAATATACATGTTTCGATGCTGTTCTCTTGAAACATCCCACCCTCACCTTCTCCCACAGAGTCCACAAGGCTGTTCTATACATCTGAGTCTCAGAGGGACATTTGAAATGATAATTGTATTCAAGTCGCTAGAGAAATGCAAATCAAAACCACGGTGATGAAATACCTCTCACACTCACTAGTATGGTTAAAATAGACAATAATGCATGTTGGTAAGGGTTTGGAGCAACTGGAACCCTCATCCTTTGCTGGTGGGGGTGTAAAATGAAGCAGCTGCTTTGAAAAACAGTCTGGAAGTTCCTCAAAATGTTGAGCCTAGAGTTGCCATATGACTCAGCAGTTTCACTCCAAGGTATATACTCAAGAGAACTGAAAGCTTATATTCACAAAGAAAATTGTACCTGAATGTTCATAGCAGCATTATTCATGGTGGCCAAAATATGGAATCAAATTACACGTGTACATTTATGGATAAATAAAAAGTGGTATACCCTTATGATAGCTTCAATGCACTAAGCTAAACTAATAATAATTCAGCAATAAAAAGCAGTGAAGGAGAAGGAAAGGGTGGGACAAATTGAGAGAGTAGCATTGATATATACATTAATACAATACCATGTGCAAAATAGCTAGTGGAAAGCTTCTATATATCACAGGGCACTCAGTTCAGTATTCTGTGATGATCTAGAAGGGTGTGATGGCAGAGGTGGGAGGGAGGCTCAAGAGGGAGGGGTTATATGTATACTTATAGCTGATTCACATTGTTTACAGAAGAAACTTAAACAACACTGTAAAGAATTATCCCGCAATTAAAATTGACTGGCAGATACCAGGGCTGGAGAGAGGGGGAAAAAAGAATGAAGTACTGATTCATGCTATAATATGGGTGAACCTTGAAAACATCATGCTAAGTAAAAGAAAGTTAGACACAAAAGGCCACATTACAATTCCATGTATGTGAAACGTTCAGAATAGGCAAACCCATTGAAACAAAAAGTATATTTGTGGTTTCCAGGTTCTGGGGGGAGAGAAAAATTGGGAGTGACTGCTAATGGGTTATTATGGTTCAGTTGCTAAGTCTTGTCCTACTCTGTAACCCCATGAATTGCAGTACGCCAGGCCCCTCTGTCCTCCACTATCTCCCAGAGTTTGCTCAAATTCATGTCCATTGAGTCAGTGATGTCATCCCATCATCTCATCCTCTGCCACCCCCTTCTCTTTTTGCCTTCAATCTTTCCCAGCACAGGGTCTTTTCCAATGAGTAGGCTCTTCTCGTCAGGTGGCCAAAGAATTGGAGCTTCAGCTTCAGCATCAGTTCTTCCAATGAATACTCAGAGTTGTGTTTCTTTCTGAGGTGACAAAAATGTTCTATATTTAGATAGTAGTAATAGCTGCATAACTGTGCAAATCTACTAAAAACCACTGAATTGTATTCTTTAAGATGGCAAATTTTATAGTGTGTGAATATTTCATTTTACCTTAATTATATTCCTTCGCTGATGCTCTTCCTTCCTTTGTGGAGATCTGAGTTTCTGATCTGTATAATTTCCTTCTTCATGAAGACCTTCTTTTTAACATTCCTTGCAGGACAACTCTGCTGATGATAAATTCTCACCATTTTTGTTTTTCATAGAAAGTCATTATTTCTCCTTCACACTTGGAGGATAATTTCACTGGATATAGAATTTTAGGTTGGTGGTTATTTTCTTTCCACACTTTAAATATTCACTTCACTTTATTGTCTGCATGGTTTCTGATGAGAAGTCTATGTGATTCTTATCCTCATTTTTCTATATGTAGTGTGGGACTTTTTTCTGGCTTCTTTCAAGATTTTTCTTTGTTTTTGGATTTCTGCAGTTTCAATATGATAGTATAGTTTGTTTTAATTTTTGTGGGATTTTTTGGTTATCGTTGTTGTTGTTTAGTCCCTGAGTTGTGTCCAACTCTTTGCGACCCCATGGACTGTAGCCCACAAGGCTCCCCTGTATTTGGGATTCTCTAGGCAAGACTCCTAGAGTGGGTTGCCATTTCCTTCTCCAGGGGATCTCTCCAGCCCGGGGATTGAACCTGCATCTCCTACTTGGCAGATGGATTTTTACCACTGAGCCACTAGGGAAGCCCCATTGATTATTTGTACTGGTTGGTATTTTTTCTGAGCTTCTTGCGTCTGTGGTTTGGGGTCTGTCATTAACTTTGGAAAATTCTTGGACATTATTTCTTCAAATATTTCTTTTGTTTCATTCTATTCTCCTTTTGGTATTCCAATTACACGTTTATCTTTTGAAACTGGACTATAGTTTGGGGATATTCTGTTCTGGGTTTTTTATTGTTTTTTGACTTTCCCTTTCAGTTTTGGAAATGTCAGTTGATATATCTGCAAGCTCACTAATTCTATTCTTGAGTATGTCCAGTCTATTGATGAGACTGTCAAAGGCATTGTTTTCTGTTAGTGTTTTTTTGTTTTTCTAGCATTTCCTTTTTATTCTTTCTTAGAGTTTCCATCTCTCTGTTTACATTACCCATATGTTCTTTATTTTATCTACTTCTTCCACTAGCCCTTTGAACATTAAATTATATTAATTTAATTTTATATTAATCATAGTTATTTTAAATTCCCAGCCTAGTCATTTCAAAATCCATGTCATATCTGAGTCTGGTTCTGATATTTAGTTGTCTCTTTGAGCTATGTTTGTTCCTGCCTTTTAGCATATCTTGTAAATCTTTGTTGAAATCCAGGTGTGATGTATCAGGTAATAAGAACTGAGGTAAATGGGTCTTTACTGTGAGGTTTTATATTAGTCTTGTGATAAGTTGGCAATATTTAATGTTTGAGATATAGATAGATGTCGATATATCGGATTTATTTATAGTATATCTTATTTGTATATGTTTTTCTACTTAGACCATGCTCGTGCCTGTGCTCAGTTGCTCAGTCCTGTCCTACTCTTTGCGACACCATGGATGGTAGCCCACCAGGCTCCTCTGTCCATGGAATTTTCCAGGCAAGAATACTAAAATGGGTTGCCATTCCCTCCTCCAGGAGATCTTCCCAGCCCAGGGATGGAACCTGCATCTCTTGCGTATCCTGTATTGGCAGGCAGATTCTTTACTACTACACCACCTAGGAAGCCCATACTTAGATCATAATGCATAAAATCATCAAGGTGTTACTTGCCTTAAGGTTGAGCTCAAAGACAGGAACTCTGAAGGCAGTGATTCGTTTATAGTGTCCAGAGCCTGGACCCCAGCTTTGTAGTTCCATAGTCTTGACCATTCTGCAGAACTCATCAGACCCAGGATTCTTAGAGAGAGTCCTCCAAAGCTGACGGTGTTAATCAGGTACAACTCTGTGATGCCCTGGGGCTTCCTTGTCACTGGCGTGGGTGCCCATGGCTATTGTCCGGGAAATCTATGAGGTTTGAAAGTACTTGAGACAACAGAGTTATGCTGGAAGGTTGTTTGATGAGAAGCAAAGAAGAGCAAAGGGGCAGCCTTTGTGGGCAGCCTGGTAAAAGATTTCTAGCCGTGACTCTCTGGGACATGTGATGGCCTCATCCAAGCCATCTGCTGAGCAAGGCTCTTGGGCACTAGACTGAGGCCCAGCCCTTGGGGAATGCAAAGATGTGCTGGTGGGGGACAAGCAGGTACACAAATGACTCCAGGAGGGTGTGGCCAGACAGTCAGCCCTGTGGATGGAGGCAGGGTCCTTTACCTGCCCCAGCGTCAGGAGAGGCTCCCCAGATGAGACTCTAGAAAGCTACCCCAGTCCTGCCAAATTCAGCCTCTTGGGACCAGCGGACCGTCTCCTTCTTAATGCTCCCCTCATTTGAATTCATCGTCCTTGTTATACCAGGCAAACTTCTCTTCCTGTTTCTGGCCTCAAAGTGCTCTTTTTCTACCATTTTATTTGAGTGCCATGCCTGCCTATCACAAGAAAGGAGGCTGAGAGCCAAGGTGCAGGCAGGTGACTGCATGCAGAGAGTCTGCCAGGAGGATTCAGGACAAGACTTCCCTGGTGGTCCAGTGGTTAAGATTCCACTCTTCCAATGCAGGGGATGTGGGTTCGATCCCTGGTTGGGGAGCTAAGATTCCACTTGTCATGTGTCCAAAAAGCAAAATTCTAAAAAAGCGATTCAGGGCCCACTTTTCTGGAGTCCTGTGGAGTTCTATACCCAAGAGAGCTGAAGGGTACAGGCTAACGGGCGGAAGGGGTTGTGAGGCATTAAATCTCCAACAACTGCCCTTGAAACTTTGCCACATGAGAAACAGTTGAAGGAGCCGGGAGTGTTTATCTTGGAGAAAGCAAGACATGACTTTTGTCTTCAAGTATTTGAGGGGGTGTCATATGAAGGAGGAATTAAACTTCCTTAGGATAGTTCCAGAGGGCACAATTTGGACCAAAAGGCGGATTTTTCACTGAATAGGAAGAAATGAGCAAAAGCTCTGAACAGGGTGTTACATACATTTACAAATATGAATAC